GCATTGCCCCACATGACCTGCAGCTCTGCATATCAACACAGAAAGTGCTACATGGGAAATAGTAAAGCAGTGCCAATATTTATTGCACCAAAGACATGGATTTGCTTTGTTGGATTTTGTGTGTGTGCGTGGTTGTTCTTCTAGTATTGCTGTCTTGTCTCCAGGCAAGAAAGCAATTCTCTCTTTGCCTCAGAAACATGTGGTATAACCTCATGTCTCACTGGCAGGGGATTTAAAACAGCCACTATAATTTACATGATAATTGTGTCATATTTTTTTTACTTCCCATGCAAGTTCCTCCTCATTTGAGATTGTTCTGTCCTTTAGCAAATAGTGCTCTTACTGTTGGCTCTGCAGGGAGCTCTTGGCAATCTTGAGTCAGAAATATAATGGAAAAATGGCTCACCTGATGATTTCAAGGGGATTACAGATTTAGGAAAAATGATCTGGTGGATGGGAAAGGGAGGAGAATTCCACGAACCACGGCTGGAGCAGAACGAGAATTGAACTCTGTAATCATTGGCTTGCCTGTCCTTCAGAACATCTTTTTTCACAGTGCTGCAGAGGGTCAGAGGGAAGGAGGATGGAGGGATGTTTGGGATTGCCTGAGAGAGAAGGAGGATGGAGGGATGTTTGGGATTGCCTGAGAGGGAAGGAGGATGGAGGGATGTTTGGGATGCACCTGGTCTGAAGGTGCACAGACAAACTGAGGTGTCACCTGTGCTCTCAGCAGGCTGCCAACACTTTCCACATCCCAAGTCCATTTTGCTCCAGGCTTTAGGGGGAATTGCCAGGCTAAAGGGGAGCTCTCCCAGTTTGGTCTGAATGAGATTTTTCCCAAGTTCAGCCCTGAGAAGGTGCCCCATGTCTATACCAGATGAAGCTGGTTGAGCTGAGCACTTGTCCTGGCTGCAGAGATCAATCACTGACCTGTGCCTGGCTCCACTCTTTGCCATCCAGCTTGTCCCCTTTGAAATACAAATGATAGGAATTAGGTTATTAGCAGGAGAGCACAGGATGTAATTGTATGTTGGCTGAAATGTTCCTGATGGATGGACCTGGTGAGGTGACATCTCTTATTTATGGAGAGGAGAGCACAGGTAGTTGATAGATTTGACAAGAGCACAGTGGCAAAACAAAATAACACTGAGGCAAAATGAGAATGTATTTGCTAATGGCCTCCCTCGCAGCTGTATACACTGATTTAATCTCTCCAAAACACTCTGTTGTTTATGAGGCCTGTGGGTACAATTTTATGCCTGACTGAAGAGGTTGCTAATAGCTGCCATATTTGTGTTTAAGGACCTGCAAAGGATTAAGCTAAGTATTTTAAAGCAATGAGCCATAATAAAGTAATAATATATTGAAAATAATAAACAGTCTTTTTTTTTTTTTCTTTTCAATAATTGGCTGCAAAACTGGTGAACTTTAAATGACAAAACTACTAATTATAAATGCAATTGCTAATCATATGTTCATTGGGGAATGCAGATTAAAACCATGGCATAAAGTCTCTAAGGCAGAGACAATAAGGCAAGGAGCAGAAGAGCAAGCACCTTTAAAAAACATGAAACCCTCAAAAAACCTCATAAGGGAACCCAAAACATTCCTGTAGGAACAAGTTGTGGTGATTACTCACGAGTTGCTTTGTCCAGGACAAAGCTGTTGCATGAGGGGAGAATTTTCTGTTCTCCCAGGTGTGAGTCCCACATGGGGACATTTTGTGTCTCAATCAGAATTAAATAAACTGCAATCCACAATAAGTACTGGAGCAGTGGAAGTTTCCTTTTCCCACTTTTGGAGGCTGATACTCTTCCATCCCAGTAATCTTATTCTCTTCCCTTCCCTAGGAGCTGCAGTTCTTGTGGCTGCCATCCTTCAAAGAACACTCAGCATGGGGCTTTCCTCTCTTCTTGAGTGTTCTTTTTTATAGGACCAGTCTGGTAGAGGGGATCTGGATAGATGATAAAAGAAGGAGGTTGCTGAAAGCCTTAATGCTGAGCTATGCTGTGCTTTTCTCCCAAAAATGTGTCTGGTTGGAGTTTACCAGGACCCAGACCCTGCAGATTCACGGTCTCCTTCCTGCCTCGGTGTGCGGCAAGATCACAGGTTGGGAGGCACTGTAGGAAATCCCTTTGCAGACAGACAATTCCTGGGAATGAACATGTGTTATATCACTCAATCCAGTGTGAATCCAGTGTAACTGTGTGCTGGAGCACAGAAATGCAGGTGCAGAAGCTCTGAGAGAGGCTGTCTCAGCTGAGTCCCTGCTGAAGGGTGCAGAACATTCCAGGAGCTGGGAGAGCTGAGCCACACAGAGCCTGCACTGCTGCTCATACAATAAACATTTCACACAGCCTATTGATAAAATCTTAGTCTGAACCTACCCCTCAGTACTGAAGTGTAATTTAAGTTTTGCAGGTCAGGAAGTGACTTCAAGGTCTGTGAACCAAGAACTCATGAAGATGCTGAGGATAAGCTGTGATCACCACCCGCATGTTCAAGGGCAGAAGCCTTTCTCAGGCCACTTCTAAGCCAAAAGTCATCATTTCTGTTCTGTGTCACCTGCCCAGCCCCAGCCTGATAACAGAGGGCAGCTGATACTGTTGATTGCAGTTCAGTGTTCTGCATGAAATAAGTCTGCTGGCCCTGAGTTTGAGAAAATCCTGCCTCTCCCTAAACCTGTGTGTGGATATTTCCATGTCAGTCCCAGCAGTGGCTGTAGTTCTGTGGCTTTGGGGCAGGGGGAGGGTCTCACCACGATTTCAGGTGATGTTAAAAGGAGGCAGATCAAACTTTCTCAATGCTGTTCCTTGTTGAAGGCAGCGCCGGCTCAGCAGCACCCGAAATCCCTGCTGGATGCTCTGTGGGACTTGCACAGCTGAAGGCATTGCAGAACCCTGTGTTCTGACAGGGTGAAAAATGTGGAGGCATTTCTGGGTCTGAGTCTCCACCAGGAATATTTGGCTTCCAGCAGAAGCTGTATACATGGCTGCACAGGCATATTTCCCTTTCTTGATGAATGTATAAAATATATATGTCTATTAATTTTCTCTTAGGAGCCCTCAGGTTTCCATTAATGACTTGTGTCCCTCAAGGACCTGGCAGAGATGCCAGGAAATGACCTAAGGACAATCCAGCACCTCCCATGGTTGAAGCCCTCCAGGAGAACATGAGGGTGGATATTAACAGCCCAAGTGTGTTGACAGGTCACTGAGTCAGTGACTCCTCCTGTGCAGCCCCAAATGCAGCTTCTCCCAGTCCAGTAACCACAGCAGACAGATCTACCTGCAGTGAAAAGATCTTGGTGTTACAGGGTGCTGACAGTGTTGAGCTTCCTTGAAAAATGGATTAGATACTTAGACACTTGTGTATGAATTTTGGGTCCTTGCCTTAAATATCCACATCAGAAATCCTTCAGAAGAAAAAAAAAAACTACAGGTAAGACACAGTTGTGAGCAATAATTTTTATTAATGCTTTCTGTAGATTCCATTTTGATTTCATTTTCTTACTTCTTAGGAATCACCAGCCTGGTGATACTTCTGGGTTACTTATGCCTTCATAGCTAAAAAGAATTGAAACCCCATTTGTTTTAAGGGAAGGTTGGACAACCCTCTGGAGGACGTAGAAGTCAGGACTGATGCAGAGGAAGCACCTGAGCTTTCAGCACAATTTAAGGCAGGAGATTTAGTGAAGTGATGGTGGGAACCTGTCTGGAAGACGTTTCCAGTGTGTCCCCATGTACCAGAGCAGGATGTGCAGAGCAGAGGTCTCTGGCTCATCCCAGTGCCCATGGGGAGCAGGACAGGAGCCAGATGGAGCTGGGAGCCTGGCAGCCAGCAACACAGAGATGCAAAAAGTTAATTTTTCAGTGACCACAGGAGAAACACAATTTTGTTGTTGTTGTTAATTTGTCAGTGTTACAATTTAGCCTTCAAACCAGGGATGTGGATTTGTTTGGCTACAAAGCTCATTAGTGTAGCTCCACTGCGTTCCATTGCTGACCGAAACAAAGCAAGTGAAGAAAAAGGAACAGCAAATCTATGAACATTGTAACTCATTAAAAGACAATTTATGGACAATGAAGGGTCTGAAGCCATTGAATAAATTATTATAATTGAAATTATTCAGGCCTGTTTAAATTATGGAAGATGTTACCAGGTTGTTGTCTCAAGCCATCGTGCATAGTTTATGTGCAGTGATCTTCTGAGCCCCCCTGAGAACTCTTACATTGAGCTAAGCTGCTGGTTGCATCTTTGTAAACATTTTCAGTCTGTCCACAAACACATCCTCTTGCAGCTTGTGGGATGGGTTTGTCTCAAAGTGACACACTGTGAAGGAATCAGTGCAGGGTTTGGTGGCTGTGGCTCTCCAGACCAGCTGGAGAGGAAGGCTCTGGAGAAGGCAGCTCTGGGCTGAGGCTGGGCTTTGCTGGGTGCTGGTTTGGGTCTGAGGAGGGATTCCTTGCAGGGACACTGCATTTACCAGCCTTTCATCTCACAGGATCAAGTGTGGATATCACTCCTTCAGCTCAGCTGGCGCCAAAACTCCCCACAGCCCAAACGCTTGCAGGGTCTCCATGAAGGCAGCAGGGAGAGGAGTTCCTGGGGTGTCACAGCATTCCATGGTGGCAGGGTATGGGGCAGGACAGGGCTGATCTGTGGATCCACCACATCCATGGGGAGCTGTGAGGGTGGTGCAGGGTCTAGAGGGGAAGCCTTGAGGAGTGGCTGTGGCTGCTTGGTTTGTTCAGCCTGGGGAAGAGGGGACTGAGGGGAGACCTGATCAGGGTCTGGAGCAAAGACTTCCCCAAAGACTGCTCAGCTGGAGCACATTTGAGAAGAAGGGGCTTTCCCAGCTCCCCCTTAAATGCTGCCTTGGTTGGGGCATGTGTGGGTTACAAGGAAGATTAGCTTGCTGGAATGGTTGAGGTCTTGATGGTTTTTCCCTCCTCCCCTCTTTGCCTGCGTTGCTGAGTGATTTGGATGCTGTGAGTGGGAGCAGCTCTGCAGTATAAAAAGGTACTTCTATTTATTTCTCTATTTTCTTGGAGCACAGTGACATAGAAATGCTGTCTTGTCTGAAACAAGAGCAGTTCTGTTGGTTTGGAGGCACTGTGGAAGTATCTGCATATAGATTTATGAGTCAGCTCTGTGCAAAGGAGCCAACCAAGAAGTTCACTTGACCCATCTCAAGTCTCTACACATGGAAAGAAATGCATTTAGGAGAAGGAGTCATAGACTCATCTTAAAACCTTGTAAGAGTTTGATTTCATTTTCTTATTTCTTAGGAATGAACCTTTCTTAGGTTGTGTTTAATTTTGCTGTGGTTGTTTTAAGGATACTCCACAAACTTACAAGCAGGGTTGGTGGGAGTGTCACGGAAAAGGTGGATTTAGTAGCCACATGTAGAGAAAAGAAAAGCAGCCCCAGTGACATCCCTGGCAATTCCCACCTTGGTTATTGCTGGCAGACAGCACAGGGATAAAAACAAGGCTGACACTAATGTACAACCAACAGTGATGTCCCCGAGGAAATGTCACCAATTAGCAGGAAAGCTGCTGCAGTTATCAGCTTCAAGATGTGGCCGTGGAAATTACAAGGTTTTAAGATGAGCCTATGATTCCATCTCCCAAATGCATTTCTTTCCATGTGTAGAGATTTGAGATGGGTCAAGTGAACTTCTTGGTTGGCTCCTGTGGTCTGGAAAAGCACTTTGCTACTCTGGGAGCAGCTGGGAATGAATGAACACATTGTTCTGGTGGAAACAAATCCATTTGTTTATATATATATTATAGAAGTATAAAATTCTGCCTAGAAAAATCGCACTATTTCTCACTTTGTGGATAATTGTATATATTTATATGTATAATGAGATTGAATGGCAAAGTTCAACACTGGAAAAGTCTTTAAAAGCCAAGATGAAAACCTTATATGTTAGAGAGATGGGGGATAGCAGGGGAAGGATGTGGGTTCCTTCACTTTGCATAAACTGCTCAATTCCCCATGTTTAATCTGAAAATGGACAGGAAAAAATAAGAGGGGGGGGAAACTGCCGTGCCATCTGTAAAAACTGCCATGATAATTTAAGCAGCATTAAAAACCTTTCCCTGAAGCTGTGCTTTAATAAGATTCCCAGTCAGAAGTCAAACTCTGCCTAGTAATTCATTCTAAACTCTCATAATGCATTTATTAGTGTGGAAATGGCAGAAGTGAAGTGACCACACTTGAGGTCCATGTTCAAAATTAGCAAAATCTGCTGTCATTCCTAGTTAAAAAGGAAGGAAAATGAGCACTGTGACAGGCAGTGAGTGATCTCTTTTTCATTGGCAGGCAGCTAAGTGGACATTGTTGGAAACATTTTTTTGGGCTTCCTTAAAGCAGATGCTCAATGTGAAAAGTTACTTTTTTTTTTTTTTAATCTCAAGATAAAGTTATCAAAATGAGAAATGTTCCATTATAATGGAATTTCTTGGAAGACAGGGATATGTTTTATCATATTATAGCACTTGCATCATATTAGATGCTACTTATGTGCTTTATTGAAATCCAAACCTCTAGCTTAATGTTTCTTTTCCAACAATACAAAAGGTTATGATTCACAGCCTCTTGCATAATAGATAAATTAATGGGTTTCTGCATATTTTATTGCTTTGTACTTTTCTAAAAGCTGCTAATCTATTTTTCTTGATTATTGATTATGACAAAAAACATTATAATTTTTCTCTGAGTTTCATGGGTGCCAAGTTCAGGGCTTTCAAAACTAATTTCTTTAGCCACCTGTTGGACTCAACCTCATTCTTTTCTCCCTCCTTTTTCCTGTAAAAACTCTATCCAGCCAAAAACCCAGCATATTTTTATCTGAGTACAGGAGGATAAATTCTGCTTTGGGGTACTTGCAAGTTCCTCCATTCAAGTAGATTTAGAGTTGTGCATATGAATCTCAGGCTCTTAATTATGTTTCTAATAATAGCAACTCCTTGCTATAAATACACGACTCATTGGAATGATTCCGGTGTGTTTAGGCTGCAGATGTGACTCCTGCATCTCATTAACCTCCCAGTTCTCCACTTGGGGTATGGAAATGTTGGATGATTAGCAGAGGACACGGGGAGAGAAAGGTTATTTGTCACTTCTCTAGGGGGAGATAAAGCCAAAATAACAAACGGAGGGAGCAAGTGGCAATGGCTTCAAGCTGTGTCCTCTCTGTCCTGGGCAGGTTTGGGGGAGCAGACCCTGCTGGAAGTCAGGAGAGGTTTTCTGACCTGGGGCCACCTCGTGTGGTGCAGTTTAGACTCCAGTAGTGCTTCAAGCTTTGTATTTTCTCATCTCTTCCTCAGATTGTATCGGTTTGTTTGCTGAAGGAGGAGGAGAATAGATCGGGGAAAAAAACCCAAAAAGTTGAAATTTGTATTTGCAGTGTTACATGGAGTCATTTAGGATAGATGTTTAAATTACCTGCTTTTTAAATTAGTTTTTTGGAAAAGCTTGGAGTTTCACAGGGATGTGTGTGGTTCACAGGCAGTTTTGCACTTTGTGCCAGGAGTATGGTTTTAGTAAGGATCAGTGTCTGCACTGCTCTGAACAGTGCTTTGCATGAGTGAAAAACTACCATAACATTGTAAACTGTATTTTTGACAATGCTACTTCATCAAGTTTCTTCTCTGTTTTCTTTTCTTCCTCCATGGCTTTAGTTCCTATCAAGACAGGACAGTGATGTGTAAATAAAAACATCCTCTTACCCACAGGTGGCAAAAATGCATTTTCACTGTGTAGAAGCAATTATGTGTGTTCTAGATCACTGAATTCCCCACACCAGCTTAAAATAGGATTTAAGTAATGCACAGGCCACATGCTATCCCAGCTCCAAGGGGTCTGTGTCATCCATGGGGAGAAAACCTTGGGTGTGATTAGTAAATTGCATTATATGAGATGGGAAAACAAACTCTTGTTTTACCCTGGCAATTATTGATTCTATAGTCTCAGTGACAGAGCATTTTTATTTCTATGTCCAGCAACAAGTTGTTGCCATGGCAACATCAGCACTGGGCATTACTGGCAACCCACCCTCATCCCAAAGTGAAGCCCAGTTGATTCTGAAAGTCTTTAAAAATTATTACAGTAATAAATTTTTTAAGTTAATTTTTACTTCTTGTCTCCTTTCCTGTGGGAGGGATAATTTATGTTCCAGGAAGGTAACACATGAATCTGTTGCATCTTCTGCCAGCCACTGTGCCCGGATAGGGCAAAGTCCAACACTCCCTACAAAAAAGAGCTGGAAAAGCTCCATTTTTGTTCTCTTGGATGCTTTGCCTATTCCTTCCCCCCTGCTTTCTTTAGGAAAGGGGGAATAAACCCCCCACCAAAACCCAACCAGCCTCATCCCTTCCTGCAGCTGCCCCCTTTCTAAACTATTTTAGAAGTCTGCAATCTGTTTCTACTCCTCCTGGAGCCAAAAGTGCGGTTTACAAGGTTGAGTTCTTGCGTTTGCAGGGTGCCAGGGCAAGGCACAGGTAACATCTCTCCTGCTTGCTGGGTGCAGTGTGGTCTCTTTCCATCCTGCTGGATCCTTGTTTCATGGGAAATATTCATCTCTCCTCAACAGGGATGAGGTGATCAGACTTATTCCTAAGGCTGCAGGAACTTTTTTTAAACCTCTTGCAGTCACTTCTGCTTTTACTGCTGAATTTCCAGGCTGTGCTGTGAGAGTCCTGCTGCAGAGAGCCTGTAGTCTACATCTAAGAGCTTTATTCTGCTGATTGCTGACCTGCTGCCATCTCTGATCCTTCAAGAGTGCAAATTTGGGCTTAAAAGATTATACCTTCTTTATCACAGAGTCAGAGAATCACAGAACGATTTGGGTTGGAAGTGACCTTGAAGATCATCTAATTTCAACCCCCATGCCATGGGCAGGGGCATTTTATGCAATTCTTCTAACCTCATAAAGGCTGCTCCTTTCCTTGCTGGGATGGGTGAACAAGCATCATGATTTCTTTCCCAGTGTGCTGCCAAATCCAGCAAGAAAATCCCCAGGCTGCTGCACCTATTTCTAGTGTTGACTGGCTGGATTTACCATTAGTGGGTGAGCAGGTATATGAACAACCTTTCCTTTTTTTTTTTTTTCTTCCCTTTTCCTCCATTTTGCAATTTTAAACATAATTAAAAGGAGATAAACGAAACCTGATTTTTCAGTCAATCTGTGGGTGACCCAGCAAACCACATCTTTTTAATTTCATGCATCAATGAGATGATACGTCATGCTTTGTACAGTGCGACAGCTTGCTACATTGCATAACTCAACATGCTGATGCAACCAGGCATGCAAAATTAACCTGATCCTTAAACCCAGGGAATTTAAGACAACAAGATCCTCCTCTGCAGCTTGCCTTGTTCAACAAACCTCATTATTCCCTGTCGTCCCTCTTATTCTTCTGTACAAATGATGAGGATGGAGTATTTTGAAAGAGATGTTTGGGTAATGGTTGTGGAATGTGAATAACTCCAGGCAGGATTGGGGTTGAACTGAAGCAGTTTCTCTGTTTTAGGCTGCTCAAAAGAGTGGGATCTTGGTGGCTTTTGGGCTCCCTTGGGAAGGAGTGGCTGACTGTGCTGCTTCCAGGGCTGTGCTGAGCTTGCTTTCAACAGTGGGAAGAGGCTGCAGTTTGCACAGCTCCTTGCACTTCATTTACCAGCTCTTAGGACTCCTCCAGAGTCCTCCAGAGAGGCTGTGGGTTGAACAAACCTCGTATGAATTCCCCTTTCTCCACTGCCCCACCACACACTGTGTGAGCACCAGCTGCCACCCAGCCTTTGTGGTTAAATCCTTCAGTGGATTGACACAGAGAGGGACATTGCTGCAGCTCTGCTCCTCCTCTGACATCCTGTGAGGCACTCAGGTCATCTCCCTGTCATCCATCCAGGGAGGAAAACAGGAATATTGCTTGGCAGACGTGGGGCTGCTTTGTGGGACCCTCTGCAGCCACCCTGGAAGTTGCCAGCATCGAATGTTTGCTCCCTGTGCCCGAGTAAAGCATAACCATGAACTTGAGGGAGAAGAAAAGGCTGATGCTGGGCATGAATATCTCCAGTCCCAGGCTGTGACATGCCACGTGTGAGCATCCAGTGCTTTGCTCGGGGCAAAATTTTTGCTTAATATCTGACATCTGTCAGTGGCTCCTCGTGTGCTCCTGGGTGAAGTAAAACAGATTCTTCAGGCATTTCTCGCATGGCTGCAACAATGGGAAGCCTTGAGAGACTGCTCGTGATGAGCACACTTAAAAGTATGGAAAATGGGGAGGATTTTCCTGTTCAACTTCACCCTTCTGCTTGTGCTGACGGTCACAGCACCTCAGAGCAGCTCAGGGAAGCCCCTGGCTGTGGTGACAAGTGGCATTTGCCTGTCTGAACAGTGGCAATCAAATTGAGATGGTGCTTGGTGGCAAAAACAAGGATGAGCCTTGGTGTTGGGATTATTGCAGTGGTGGGGTTAGGTCTTGGTGGTGACCATGATAAAAATCCCAGCAGATGAAAGCAGCCAGGATGGGGGTTTGGGCTACCAGAGCCATGTCCAGGTGCTGCTGCTCTGGCAGCAGTCAGTCCCTTTGGAGCAGGAGCTGCCACCTGTTTGTGCAGCACCCTGGTGGAGTTCACCTGTCCCTTTAATTCCCATGTGTAATAAAAACAGGAGAAAATGAACTGCCTGAAACCAATTTCTCACCTTAAGCTCTGTAACAGCAAATGGGCTCCTCTAAAACACCAGGAATTCGTGTGTCTGGGAGAGGTACAACCGGACCATGACACTTCAGAGTCCACAGATATTGCTCTTGCTTGAGTTGCTTTGCGTTTTCTCCGAGTGTACAGCGCCCTGTGGCACAATATCCATCCCCACTGCATCTCTAAGTGCTGAAACTTCACATCTTAATTCTATGTGAGTGGTTTTCTCTCGAGGCTGCGATGCCTCTGCCGAGCGGGAGCCTGATAGCAGCACTGAGAAGGTTGCACATTATGCAGGGAAATGTTGATGGTGTACTAAAAAAATATCTCAAATATCTCCAGTAATGTCTTTTTATTTTTGTTGTCTTGTACAGTCAATTTGAAGTACATCCACTTTGAGGTTTGGTGAGGAAATGCCTGTTTATTTGAAGCTGATGGAGATACTTGAATGGAGGATAACTGGGATCTAGGGCTCTGGGATAAATTACTCCACTTGTATTTTCTTTTTCTTTTAATCTAGAATGCACATAAGCCATACAGCAATATTATCATCACTTTGCACTTTCCTTAGGAAGTATCTTAATATTCTATAATCCTCTTTGCTACAGAATGGGGACTGAACTAAGATGGAATTATATTTTAATGTAATTCCTCGTGAAACAAAAGGGGACCGTGTTCAGAAGCTGGCTAGATATATGGCAAATGGGAACTAGACAAGCTGTGTAACATCATGACCAGTTTCTATGGCAACAAAAATGTCAGCTATCCTTTTGGCTGATTCTATTAATCCGTGGTAGAGGCACTGATACTGACACATTTGGAATTTATTTAAACAAGAAGGTGAAAAGATAACCCCAGCACAGCTTATAAACAAGGGGGAAGTTAAGCCTCTGCCATAATGCCACCTGACATGGATAGAAGGGAGTAACAGGCAGGGGAGGCATTCCAAGGCAGCCACTTGGAATTTTGTTAAAAAAGTGCTCAAGCCATTTATTGAGAAGTCTGATACTTGACAAAATTTCATCTTTTCCCCCCAGCATTGCCATACCCCAAACTGCTGGCCTGTGTTCATCCCTGTGCTGTGGATCCTGTGGCCAGGTAACCCTAAACCCTCCACGTGGGAGATTTGGGCACCTGGGGCATCCCAAACTGGCTGCCTGGTTTGGGGTTTTCCCCCAGAAGCTTTTTGGCTTCTGTCCTGCTTTTTTTCCAGAGCACAGTGGCTGCCTGATGGAGAAAGCTGTGTTACTCAGTGATTAAAATGCATGGTCTGGCCACTGGAAAATGGAAAAAGCAGTTGCAAGGAGGCAAAGCACATTCTGTATTCCCTCTATGTGGGTCAGATATTTTCCTAGGGACACTCAGAAATGCCTGTGCTCTGCTATTTCTGCTGGGTACTTTATCCTTTATTCTCTTGTTATTGAAAGAGCTAAATGTTTTCCCACTTTCCAATGTACCATGACAATACAAACTGTACGGTGATGTCGGAGCACAAAATAAATATGGATGCAGATACTTGTCATTATGATAAAACAACATCTTTTCATCTTTATCTTGGAATTACAGGCTCCTCGGGAAGATGACAGTGTCTTGTTATGGAAAATGAATTTTTGGTAGTAGAAAGATATCTTTTAACTTATTCTTGAATTCTTCCTGTTTGCCAGAGGCATATAGAAAAATTAGCTTCTTTCCCAATTCTTTTGCTGGTTTTATTAAAATTCATAGTACAAAAAGTGCCATATAAAAGTGCTTGGTGTGTGAGAAAAAGAAGAGCTGGAAAATGCAGAGCTGAATTTATTATAAGATTATTAGCTGGCTGCTGGCTGGATTTTTATTTTTTAGTTGGCTAAAAAAAAAAAAAGGCCATCAATATTTTTTTGCCATTTCTTTTTAAGCTTGTAATGTACTGAAGAGACTACAATATGTATTAATGTACTTCTGATTTGGAAAAAGAAAGAAAAAAAAAATGCCCCATACCCTAATAGAAAAACTGTCAGAATTTTAACCACAATATAGCTCCTGGAAACAGAGTTCATGTGAACTTTTGAACTTCCTCAGATTCAGAAGAGCTTTCTGGAAGGGGCATAAGTTGTCAGATTTATCCCATGCTTCTGTTAAATCCCATTCCCACAACCTCTAGCTCTGCCTCTCACACCCCTGTGTCCACTGGCTTTGCTAAGCAGGTTTTGTGTCAAAATTGCACGAATGTGTGATGGTTACAGCTTCTGTGAAGTTAAAAAGATAAGCAGTGATAATGTATCTGGTATACTGGAAAGCTGGGTGGTTTGGGACCAGAAACCTACGTATTTATTATCATCAGTTTACAAAGTTGTGCCTCTTGGTCCCATGGGAATTTTCCAGTCTTCCAGGCAGCTTTTTTTTTTCCATCTTTTTGATGCAGCAGTAGGGGAAGGGAGGTGATGTCACTTGGTATTACAGAAAATGAGGCAGATGTGTCTTAGACTGAACTTGAGAGCTTGAAATAGCTTTGTTTTGTCCTCAGCCAGGGCAGGTGAGGATGGAGCAGCTCAGTGGAAAACTCCACTCCCTCCTAAGCCCCAGAGCATTTTCACCTGAGCAGCAGCTCTTTCTGAAGGTGGCATTGATCATTTTGCTTTCTTTTCCTATGGATAACTTCTACAAACTGTGTAGTTGGGAAAGCTTTTCTAGTCCTGCCAGCTGTGAAAGGGCAGTGCTTTGGGTCTTTTCCTCTCTTAGAGTGCTTTCAACTCCGCCCATCTCTTCTGCTGGAGACTCTTCCTTTGCACCTCCTCGCTGAACCCCCACCTGAAGTCAGGGTTCCCACAGCTTGGCCACTGTCCTGCCCCCAGGAACCTCACTTGTCTGTTTTTTAGGATAAACATGGCATTATTCCCTGTGATCTGGAGACGAACACTTTAATCCTCTTAAATGACTGAAATAAATGAAGCATGTTCTTTATCCTGGATTAATTGTTACAGCAACACCAGACCTCCTCCTTCAAAGGAGGTGAAGTCTCCAATGAGAGGGGGTGAAGGCACAGGAGTAGAATTTCTTCTGATTTTATTCTTTAGCAGCTCTGGCACAGCTGATGTCACAAACATGAGCATCTCTTAACTCAGGTGGAAAGCTGTGCCAGAGATGGTGGTGGGAAGGATGCAATCCTTCCTCCTGAAGCCACTGGCTCAGAAAACTCACACTCTCACAAAGGCTGACCTTTTGAGGAGTCACAGACATTAAATACAGGACTTAATCAAAAGTTAATTTCACTGAGCATCTAACCTGAGGGCAGGCTCCAGCTCACTGTACTTTGAAGTCAAATGCCTGGCTGGTCCTATAGTGATCAAAACATGTTTTGAGCCCTAGGTATTAGCAAGGGAAATAGCTGGTGCAAAAGCAGTTATATCTTGATTTCAGTCCTTCTGGTACAATTTTGAAGGCATTATTTGGGATGTTCATTGTTTTTTAAAAATAAAGACTGTTAATTCTTTTGGTCAATAACCATAATTCTGATCTGGTAGGAAAAAGTAACTCTGTGTTAATGCACTTGGGGTTCCTTGTCTGCCTTGTTCCTACCCTTCAAGAAGATAAGAAATAGTTTAAAATTCTTTTTTAGGGCATATTTGTGTACATATACACATACATATATATAATGTAATATTACAGCTGCATAAAAATTATATATAATCTCGCAATGGTATATTTTGAGTATCAAAATGTCTGATTTGAAACAATGCAGACATTCTTCATCAATGACCTGGCAGTGGTCTGCCAGATGTGTGTCCAATGAGCCAGGTTGCTTCAACACAGTCAGCCAAGGGACTGGAAACCACATTGCTGGCTCTGGGCAGGTTTTGATGTGTGTTGGAAGCTGGGCCTCCCCACAGCAAAATGATCCCTGTGTTCAGGGTCCTGTCAGAGCAGGATAGGCCAGAAATGGGGGGTGGACTGGAATGGTGTAGAGGAGCAAGGATCTGGCCTGATGTTCATTAGCAAGTGTCACTGCTAATTGAGTGCTTTATTTGAGACCTAAAAATGATGGGTGGACACTGTTTTAGAGATGGAAATACATATTATCAGCACCACTTAACTGGGAGCTGATGGGCCTCCTCCTGCCCATAACTGATGTTGGTTCTTCGTCTGCTTGTATAACAGGTGGTAAAATAGTAAAATCTCATGGGAATATGACAGAGAATCTCTTCATGTTCTCTATTTCTTCCACCTCATAGCCTTTTCTTCCCTTCCTCACATCTACCCAGGCTTAAACATCAGCATGAAGGAAGCCTTGGAGACCTGGAGTCCTCTTGGGTTGTCCCGAGCTTGCACTGAGGGTGTTTAAATGGGTTTATTATGGGATCATTATCATTTAGAGACCGGATGCCTGTTGCAGTTGTCCTTGTTTAGGCTGTCACACCAGCTCTGTTGCACAAAGTGAAATGTATTTACTCAAGAGGTTGATAAAGGTGTTTTTCTAACCCAGGCAGGCGAGGTGTGAGGGCCTTGTGCACACGGATGCTTTGTGCGTGTTGGCCAACAAAGAGTTGAATCACAGCAATGTGATGGCTTGCAGCAGCCTGTGCCTCCTTGAAGGAGCAAAACCTGTCTTCTCCTCACTGCCAGAAAGCTCTGATCAGCAAGAAAAGCCATTAAATTCAGAGCTGCTACATGCTCACTCCAAAACACACTCCCTGTTGAATTTCCTTCTGCTAAAGAAAAGCAAGTCGGCTGTGACCAGTCAATAATTTCTCCAAAACTCCTGATCTTTCACCAGTGCACAAGATACAGCATTTAATGATCACAAAACCTTCTTCAGATGTGCTGTGTCGAAGTGCCCCTTGTCAGTCAGCAGATTCCTGGGATGGGTGAACACTGGAGCTTTTCTTCTGTCCCAGCTCAGTGGGAGGCTCACCCTGATCAATGTCTTACCTTTGTGTGCCACTTAAGGAACTACTGAAACACACTGAAGTGAGAGAACTCTGCCTTTAATTAGGCTGGATGTGTGCTGAATCCACACAGGAAACTGGGCAGCATTAGAGCCTCCACTGTGCAAGCACTGGGGGACACAGCTCAGTCGGAGCAGACGTGCTGATTCACCCTTCCCTGCGCGTGGCGTTAGCGCCCGTCCTCCTTACCAGACTAAAAATGTCTAAGACCACACAAGACTGTGATGCTTCACATTTTTAGGCAATTGCTGTTTTTGTCAAAACTGTCTGTAGCTTCTCTTCCTGGGTGCAATATGGTGAGTAATGAGCTATTGGAGTAATGTCTGTTTGAAACATCCGTAGCCATATGGCAATGTGGGAGGCGAGGATAAAACAGGGATCAGTCACAAGTGTTTACTTTGAAACACAGATAAAAAGGCAAGTTTTGTGCTGTGACTCAGTTACTCGTTGGATCAGGTACTGGAAACAGTAGTTTTTAATTACTTCTGTGTTTAGTGGACTTTAAAATCCCGGGCACTGAAATCCGGTGCGTATTAGTCCTCCTGATTGCTCTCTTCAAATCTGCTCCGTGAAACAACGGGACAAACGGGGGTTGCATTTGAGCCAAACCACAGCCACTTAATCCATGGAGTCATTAGAGATTATTTTCAGCACTGCCATGGACTGTGTGTGGATAAAATGGGGAAAATGTTGCTGAGGAAGGTTAATAAAACTGCCTGGTTGCACTTGCAAGATGGCTTTGGAGGATTTGGGTTGTTTTGAGAACAGCTCAAGATGCTCTGGCAAGCACTTGGCTGAACAGTTTTCTTGCAAAGAGTTTAATAACTTGGGCTCCTTGCTAGGGTGAGGCACAGCTGCTCCACAGAAGTGGAGTCCTGGGAGGATAGGTGGGTTATTTTAGGAACTGAAGTGTTTGTAAGAATATCCCTTTTAAAATAAATCCTTATTTGGGATCGGGGAGCCTGTACTGTTTACTTTTGCTCAGCTCTGTCCCAGCACTGTCAGCTCCTGCTTCTCTCTGGGAGTCCTGGACCTCACCTGTCTCCTCAATCGTGGGGGTCCCACCTTGGAAACCTCTTGGGGGGATTAGGGAAAACACCACCTGTCAGTGAGGCCTTTGGAGACCCAGCATCACAGAGTGGTTTGGGCTGGAAGGGACCTTTAAAGGCCCTCTGGTCCAGCTCCTTTTGCAGTGAACAAGGACACCTTCCACTAGATCCCTGCCCAGCCTGACCTTAAAGACATCCAGGCATGGAGCATCCACCACCTCTATGGGTAACTTGTGCCAGTGTTTCACTGTAAAAAAACTTCTTTATATCAAATCTACATCAACCCTCCTTCAGTTTAAAACCACAACCCCCTTTCCTATTGCAACAGGTGCTTGAGTGGTATCAAGAAAATATTTTGGTTCAAAGAAAACATCCTGTGGCCTGAGTGCATTTCATGTTTGAAATACCTTGGCAGATTAGTTAGACTGATGAGCCTGTTGGGTAGGGTGAAGGTGAGCAGGTAGGTGAAGAGAGAAATTTACTGCATGAGTAGGGTCTGGCAATTTCCTCTGCGAATACATTATCGACTCCTGATCGACTGAAGGATAC